ATGTTTTTCATCCGTTTCCATCTGTTTTTCATTCCGTTTTACATCCGTTTCCATCCATTTTTCCATCCGTTTTTCATCCGTTTACATCTGTTTTACATCCATTTACATTGGTTTACATCCGTTTTTTCATCTGTTTTTCATCCATTTCCATCTGTTTTTCATCCGTTTCCAGCCATTTTTCCATCTGTTTTTCATCCGTTTCCATCCTTTTTTTCCATCCGTTTTTATCCGTTTACATCTGTTTTTCATCCATTTACATTGGTTTACATCCGTTTTCATCTGTTTAGATCCGTTTTTCATCTGTTTACATTTGTTTTCATTTTATTTTTTTTGGTCTGTTTACATCCTTTGACAACTGTTTTTTATCCGTTTCCATTTTTTTTTTTTGCGCTAGACAAATAGGGTTGTCTTCCGTTCAGAAAAATTACAGATGTTAATGGATGCGGACATTAACGGATGTAAAAAGATGTTCATCCGTTTACATCTGCATAGAAATACATGGGGGTCCGTTTTTTCATTACTAAACGGACAACTGAAAAAACGGACCTATGGAACGCCCCGTATGATAATAATAGGCATTAGTGCAATCTCCTTTTTAATAAATTTGGGAAAAAAATTCTAACCAACAAAACTTTTCATGTGCCACGTCTCAATAGGAAGTACAACTACATACAACCAGGGGCGGACTGACCATTTGGAAACTTGGGCACTGCCCGAGGGCCCGGGGTCAGTAAGGGGCCCCATGAGATGCCCCTGGTACCTTTTTCATAGGCTTTTTTGAGTCTCAGGGCAAGGACAAAGGGGCCCCATGATCCCCTATTTCCCGGGGGCCCCATGAGTTGTCAGTCCGCCCCTGCATACAACAGAGAAAATAAACTATAGGAAACCTATGCGGTATATTTGCGCACTTTATGGGCATCGTACGAGTCCACGCTTGTTAATATAAAAATAAATATGTTTTATTTGTACAAACAATAAAATGGACACATAGAAGCAGCATGTCCTATTAAAAAATCATGTGGAGTTCCCCTGAATATACCCCCTCCACAAGGTATAAATATTATATGGATACAAAAAATATGTTCACATCTTAGCCAGCTTCAGCGGTCAACGCGTTTCACATACAGCGTCTCCAGGACCATACGAAGAAGCTATATGTGAAATGCGTTGACCATTGAAGCTGGTTAAGATGTGAACATATTTTTTGTATCCATATAATATTTATTGAGGCTGTATATTCAGGGGAATTCCCCGCATTTTTTTAGGACGTGCTTCTTTGATGTGTCCAATTTATTGTTTGCACAAATAAGGTGTATATATATATACATAGATGGATGGATAGATAGATAGATAGATAGATAGATAGATAGATAGATAGATAGATAGATAGACAGATATAGATATGAGATAGATAGATAGATAGATAGATAGATAGATAGATAGATAATAGATAGATAGATAGATAGATAGATAGATAGATAGATAGATAGATAGATAATAGATAGATAGATAGATAGATAGATAGATAGATAGATAAATAGATAGATAGATAATAGATAGATAGATAGATAGATAAATAGATAGATAGATAGATAATAGATAGATAGATAGAGAGATAGATAGATAGATAGATAGATAGATAGACAGATAGATATGAGATAGATAGATAGATAGATAGATAGATAGATAATAGATAGATAGATAGATAGATAGATAGATAGATAGATAGATAATAGATAGATAGATAGATAGATAGATAGATAGATAGATAATAGATAGATAATAGATTAGATAATAGATAGATAGATAGAGAGATAGATAATAGATAGATAGATAGAGAGATAGATAGATAGATAGATAGATAGATAGATAGATAGATAGATAGATAGAGAGATAGATAGATAGATAATAGATAGATAATAGATAGATAGATAGATAGATAGAGATAGATAGATAGATAGATAGATAGATAATAGATAGATAATAGATAATAGATAGATAGATAGATAGATATGAGATAGATAGATAGATATGAGGATAGATAGATAGATAGATAGATAGATAGATAGATAGACAGGCAGATAGATAATAGATAGATAGATAGATAGATAAATAGATAGATAGATAGATAGATAGATAGATAGATATGAGATAGATAGATAGATAGATAGATAGATAGATAGATAGATAGATATGAGATAGATAGATATGAGATAGATAGATATGAGATAGATAGATAGATAGATAGATAGATAGATAGATAGATAGATAGATAATAGATAGATATGATAGATAGATAGATAGATAGATAGATAGATAGATAGATAGATAGATAGATTGATAGATAGATAGATAGATAGATAGATAGATAGACAGAAAGATAATAGATAGATAGATAGATAGATAGATAGATAGATAGATAGATAGATAGATAGAGATAGATAGATAGATAGATAGATAGATAGATAGATAGATAGATAGATAGATAGATAGATAGATAGATAGATAGATAGATAGATAGATAGATGGTCTCATGTGCTGCCCATAAATTCTGCAAATATACTGTGTAGGTTTTCCTAGCGGTTCATTTTTTCTTTTATTAAATCTGTTTTTACCCGTGCTGCACCATGAGGCTTCTCCTATTCTTTATCCCTTGATGGTTTATATGAGAGTGATTTGTGAATTGCAGGGTTACATAGTAACATAGTTAGTGTGGCTGAAAAAAGACAAAAGATCATCCAGTTCAACCATTAAAAATAAAAAGTTATAATCCTATACCCACACATATTTATATATTTCGTAATATATCTAGAAAAAACAAATTTCAACATGCAGTATATATGTATAATATTTTGAAATATATTGCATACGGCCAAAATTGTAGTATTTCAATTATATTTTTCTTCCATGTGGGTAGTTACATAGTTAATCTGGTGGAAAGTTTTTATATATATATTTATTTATTTTTTGCGAAAAGAAAATGATATAAATTTAATTTGGGTACAGCATACCATGACTGTGCAATTACCAGTTAAAGTAGCGCAGTGCTGAACAGCATAAAAATAGCCCTGGTCATGAAGGGGGTAAAGTCTGACGGTCAAGAGGTTAATACACACTTATTGGGATTTCTTTTTTTTTTTTTTCTTTACCAAAGACATGTAGCAGAATATTTTTTGCCCTAAATGTATGAATAAAGTGGATTTTTTTTTGTTGAATATGTTTTATAACAGAAAGTACATAGTAATATATAATAATGGAATCATTGAGCTGACAGGAAATATGCAGATAAACCCAATACAAATAAAATAAAAATATTTTACATAGTCTGGCTGAAAAAAGACAAACGTCCTTCCAGTTCAACCATTAAAAAAAAAAAAAAGTTATAATCCTACACACACAGTTGATCCAGAGGAAGGCAAAAAAAAAAACTCCAAAGCACGATTCAATTTGCTCCTTCAGGGAAAACATTCCTTCCTTCCTTCCTGATCCCCCGAGAGGCAATCAGATATTCCCTGGATCACCTTTCCCTATAAATGTTATATCCAGTTATATTCTGTGTATCCAAGAAAGAATCCAGGACTTTCCTACAGCAATCCACTGAGCTGGCCACAACCAACTCTGGAGGGAGTCTATTCCACATTCTCACAGCTCTTACTGTAAAGAAACCTTTCTGTGTTTGGAGATTAAATTTTTTTTCCTCCAGACGTAAAGAGTTCCAGTTACATAGTTAGTCTGGCTGAAAAAAGACAAAAGTCCATCCAGTTCAACCTTTCCGGTCCTGAATGTCTCTGTGATGACACAAATCTTGGAGTCGGCCAATGGAGTCATCCGCCTTGCTGAAAGCCCTACAGTGGGGTCACCTGGAGTGTGCAATCAAAAAGCGCTTTTGATCTCCTTGTGTTGAGATCAGTTTGTCCTGTAAAAGGCTCTGAATGTGGATGGCACTTCTATGCATGGTGGGGAAAAAAGCCTTCTTTGTGCTGCCTCCAATACTCACCTGAGCCTGATCTCCATCTGGCAATGTGCGCGGGAGCCTCAGCTGTCCCGGGACTCCCTCTCCTCATTGGCTGGGACAGAAGCAGGAGCCATTGTGTCAGTCACAGTCAGTGAGCCAATGAGGAAAGAGAGTGGAGCCGAAACACGGCTCTATGTGTCTTATGGGCACCTAGAGCTGGGCTCAACCCCCCTGGTGGTATTCCCGAGTGTAGCTCGGGGTAAAGTTTCAGCACCACAAGCAGTAACCCCCCGAGCTACACTCGGGAATACACTGAAGATTTGCTCCGGGATCTCTTCTTCACTTACCTTGTCCTGCGCTCCCGCGATGTCCCTCCTGCAGCGTCCCCTGTAATGTCCTCCGGCCGATGCCGGCATCTGTCTTCCGAGTTCCGTTCCCTGCGATGTCGGGACGTACGGGGGATGGAATGGCAGGAAGTTTGAAAATTTTAAAAGTGACATTCACTAAATACACTAAAATCACATAGTATAACATTCCTGTATCAAACCATTTCACATACATTTTGTCCCGAGTGCTTTGTCCGGCATCCTGCCTGCATTTTTACTGCCCTTTCTGCCTGGAAACTGAGAAACGTCCATGGCGTCCAAAAAGCGTCCCTTTAGGTCAGACGCGGTTTTAGACCGGCTAGAGAACAGCGATAGTAAATCAGAACCACTTGCAGAATTGAGTGATAATGATTGGTGGGGGAAATTCCTCATCAGACACTGAAAACGATTCTGCGACTGAGCTCAGCGATGGGCGAACTTGGCGCTCTATTTCACATTTCAGTGTTTTTGGTTTGATTATATTATTGAATTACATTTATTATTATTATATTATTATTTTTTATGATTATTTATTACATTATAATTTATGATTTTGTGTTTCAAATTTTATCCTCCCCGGGATGTTTACTAGACTCTTGTTCAGACAGATTTCAGTGAGTTATTCCTAAAAATTACAGGCCTACAATAAAAACACTGAGTGGAGGTCAGTGGAGGGTTTGGCAGAGAGGGGTGGAGGACACTGAGTGGAGGTCAGTGGAGGGATTGGCAGAGAGGGGTGGAGGACACTGAGTGGAGGCCAGTGGAGGGATTGGCAGAGAGGGATGGAGGACACTGAGTGGAGGTCAGTGGAGGGATTGGCAGAGAGGGGTGGAGGACACTGAGTGGAGGTCAGTGGAGGGATTGGCAGAGAGGGGTGGAGGACACTGAGTGGAGGTCAGTGGAAGGATTGGAAGAGAGGGTGAGGACACTGAGTGGAGGTCAGTGGAAGGATTGGCAGAGAGGGTTGGAGGAAACTGAGTGGAGGCCAGTGGAGGGATTGGCAGAGAGGGTTGGAGGACACTGAGTGGAGGCCAGTGGAGGGATTGGCAGAGGGGGATGGAGGACACTGAGTGGAGGCCAGTGGAGGGATTGGCAGAGAGGGGGTGGAGGACACTGAGTGGAGGCCACTGGAGGGATTGGCAGAGAGGGTGGAGGACACTGAGTGGAAGTCAGTGGAGGGATTGGCAGAGAGGGGTGGAGGACACTGAGTGGAGGTCAGTGGAGGGATTGGCAGAGAGGGGTGGAGGACACTGAGTGGAGGTCAGTGGAGGGATTGGCAGAGAGGGGTGGAGGACACTGAGTGGAGGTCAGTGGAGGGATTGGCAGAGAGGGGTGGCAGATACGGAACAGTTAGTAAAAAAACTACATATTTCCATGCAAAAAAAGTACTGACATAACCAGACCGCTAGGAAGCTACGAGCGAGCACACACCAGTATCCCCAGAGCAAGCGGCTTGCTTTTGGGGGCATTGGTCAAGGGGGAGAAGCCAGAAGTGCCGGCGAGGGACCCGAGAAGAGAAGGATCGTGGCTGCTCTGTGCAAAACCACCGCACAACCAGGTAAGTATGACAAATGTTTTTTTTTTTAAATCCTAACCTTAATTACCGCTTTAAGAGAGCGGCACCATGTACTGGATTGCGTTCGGGAGGACGTTACGCCCGCTGAAATCAACAAGGGGAATAATTCATGCAGTGGCCACGGCATATGTACACCTCAAGCTGATGCCTCTCCAACTAAAGGGGGTAGCGGTTGGGTGGCGGTAAATGCACACCTCAATCACAGGGTTTTACCACCCCTCCCCCAACCTCATGTGTGAACGAGCCTTCAATAGGATGGCATGGACCAGTGGTGAGAGGCTAAAAACAGATGAGTTTCATACCAACTAACATGTATTGTGTGGATTGGATGTTATTATTAGACAGGACAGGATCTGCCCAGCCTCCAGTATTTACACCGGGAGGGGTGCGCATTGCAAATGGCCTTTAAATCAATTGGACAAGTCAAAGCAAATATAAAGATTTCACGTTGCAAAGCAAACCCGAAATTAATGTTCCTCTCACGCTATTGTCACACCGCGATCCGTCCTCGTTCCTCGCCCGAGTGCGAGGAGCAGAATTGCCAAGGACGGCTTTGCTGAATATTTAACATTGCAGAGTAACAGGCAAAGAATTTCAATCAGAACCTTTTTACCGGCAACACTCTGAATTGTGCGCCCTGGAATTCTCCGCATCAATTGGTTCCAGGTCCCCGCTAATGCACCGCCGTCACATCATCCACACGCAAAACTAATAGCTGCCATTCCCCCCTCCCCCCACAAAAAAAAAAAGATTTCCTCTGTATTGTGTGTGTTCCTTTATACTGAGAGCCTGCTACAGAAGATTCCTCTGATCCACAATCTATGGGCCCCAACGCCGGCACCACAGACCCGACCATTACCGGTAATCGGCGTCTTGTGAATGGATTACATTCGGTGAGAACTATGATGCATTCTCAGCCAGAAAACATTCCGAGCTGTTAGTGGGACTTTTCCTAAAAGAACGATTTCATGAGACTTCTTGGCGTTTTTACGCTTGCTGCTCCATATTCTCCCATTTCTCTGAGGATTGCAGTGATCTATCGGCTTCCTGGACCGCAGTCCCACTTTCTCGATGATTTCTCCGCCTGGCTACCCTACTTTCTCTCCTCTGAACTACCCGCTATCATCCTCGGAGATTTTAACACCCCCATTAATGTCAACAACCCGGCTACATCCCAACTCTTCAACATAACCTCATCTTTTCCATTAACACAGTGTATACAGTCCTCCACTTATGGACACAGTCCTCCACTCACTCTTATGGACACAGTCCTCCACTCACTCTGATGGACACATTCCTCCACTCACTCTGATGGACACCGTCCTCCACTCACTCTTGATGGACACAGTCCTCCACTCACTCTGATGGACACAGTCCTCCACTCACTCTGATGGACACAGTCCTCCACTCACTCAGATGGACACATTCCTCCACTCACTCTGATGGACACCGTCCTCCACTCACTCTTATGGACACAGTCCTCCACCCACTCTGATGGACGCCGTCCTCCACTCACTCTGATGGACACGGTCCTCCACTCACTCTGATGGATGCCGTCCTCCACTCACTCTGATGGACGCCGTCCTCCACTCACTCTGATGGACGGTCCACTCACTCAGTCCTCACTCACTGATGGACCGTCCTCCACTCACTCTGATGATGGACACAGTCCTCCACTCACTCATGGATGGACGCTGTCCTCCACTCACGTGATGGACACGGTCCTCCACTCAGATGGACACTCACTCTGATGGAGTCCTCCACTCACGGTCCAGTCCACTCACTCTGATGGACGCCGTCCTCCACTCACTCTGATGGACACAGTCCCCACTCACTCTGATGGACACGGTCCTCCACTCACTGATGGACGCCGTCCTCCACTCACTCTGATGGACACAGTCCTCCACTCACTCTGATGGACACGCCGTCCTCACTCACACGGTCCTCACTCACTGATGGACACGGTCCTCCACTCACTCTGATGGACGCCGTCCTCCACTCACTCTGATGGACGGTCCCCAACTCACTCTGATGGACACGGTCCTCCACTCACTCTGATGGACGCCGTCCTCCACTCACTCTGATGGACGCCGTCCTCCACTCACTCTCATGGACGCCGTCCTCCACTCACTCTGATGGACACTCCTCTCCATGGATGGCCGTCCTCCACTCACTCTGATGGACCAGTCCTCCACTCACTCTGATGGACCGCCGTCCTCCACTCACTCTGATGGACACTGTCCTCACACTCACTCAGATGGACACAGTCCTCTCACTCATCCTTCACTCAGATGGACACAGTCCACAGTCCTCCACTCACTCTGATGGACACGCCGTCACTCACTCTGATGGACGCCGTCCTCCACTCACTCTGATGGACACAGTCCTCCACTCACTCTGATGGACGCCCTCCACTCACTCGTCCTCACTCTGATGGACACAGTCCTCCACTCACTCTGATGGACACAGTCCTCCACTCACTCAGATGGACACAGTCCTCACTCCACTCACTCAGATGGACACAGTCCTCCACTCACTCAGATGGACACAGTCCTCCACTCACTCTGATGGACACAGTCTGATGGACTCCACTCACTCAGATGGACACAGTCCTCCACTCACTCTGATGGACACAGTCCTCCACTCACTCCTCCACTCACTCTCTGATGGACACAGTCCTCCACTCACTCAGATGGACACAGTCCTCCCTCCACACTCTGATGGACACAGTCACTCACTCTGATGGACACAGTCCTCCTCCACTGTCTGATGGAAATACATTGGACCTTGTTTTCTCCCGTCTTTGCACTCCCTACAACCTCACAAACACCCCCCCCTTTCCTCTCTCTGATCACAATCTCATCACCTTCACAGTCTCCTCGTCTTCAAACACCTCTCCCTCCAAGCAGCAAACAATTACCCGCAGAAACCTTCACAACTTGAACTCTTCTCTTCTTCACTGTGCAACTGACCAACTCTATGGCAGAATCTCTCCCCTGTCCTGTCCTGACCTGGCCACTGCTCTCTACAACCGTTCGCTCTCATCCACACTGAACTCACTTGCTCCTCTAACCACACGAAGCATCAGGCCCCGATCGTTACAACCTTGGCAGACTGACCACACCAGAAATTTTAAACGACCTATAGTCGTGCACTGGAGCGATTGTGGCGTAAAACCAAATCTCAGCAAGCATTCACCCGATATAAATCTGCTTTCTTAAACATACAATTCCTCCCTTCATGCTGCCAAAAATGCCTACTTTGTCACTTTTATTAATACCTTGTCATCCAGTCCTCGTCATCTCTTCTCTACTTTTAACTCTCTACTTTCTCCACCTCCACCCAGTACCTCACTCACTGCTCACAAGATTGCAAATCATTTCAAAAACAAGATTGACGCGCAATTCAAAGGGGCATCGCCACTGCACAGACATCCATCCCACTTAGCATACCTTATATATTAAACCTCCCTCAACACTTTCCTCTTTTGACTTTGCTACTACCGAAGAGGTCACTGAGGTTTTCTCAGAAGCCCGTCTCACTACCTGTCCCCTGGATTCTGTCCCCTCACACCTACTATGGTCACCCTCCTCTTCCATCCTATGCTCCCTCACTCACATCTTCAATCTCTCCCTCTCTAATGGTGCCTTCCCCTCCCCTCTAAAGCATGTACACATCACTCCCATAGTTAAAAAGCCCTCCCTGGACCCCACCAACCTGAACAACTGAAGACCCATCTCCCTGCTGCCATTTACCTCTAAACTCCTAGAACGCTTAGTATACAATCGCCTGAGCTCCTCCCTCACCGACAACAACCTTCTTCACCCTTTACAGTCTGGCTTTCGCTCACTACACTCCACTGAAACTGCCTTACTAAAACTCACTAATTATCTACTAACTGCTAAAACCAATGGCCACCACTCCGTACTCATCCCAACCAATGGCCACTACTCCGTACTCATCCCAACCAATGGCCACTACTCCGTACTCATCCCAACCAATGGTCACTACTCCGTACTCATCCCAACCAATGGCCACTACTCCGTACTCATCCCAACCAATGGCCACTACTCCGTACTCATCCCAACCAATGGCCACTACTCCGTACTCATCCCAACCAATGGTCACTACTCCGTACTCATCCCAACCAATAGCCACTACTCCGGTCCCAACCAATGGTCACTACTCCGTACTCATCCCAACCAATGGTCACTACTCCGTACTCATCCCAACCAATGGCCACTACTCCGTACTCATCCCAACCAATGGCCACTACTCCGTACTCATCCCAAACAATGGTCACTACTCCGTATTCATCCCAACCAACGGCCACTACTCCTTACTCATCCCAAGCAATGGCCACTACTCCGTACTCATCCCAACCAACCGCCACTACTCCGTACTCTTACTACTTGACCTCTCTGCGGCTTTTGATATGGTTGACCATCCCCTCCTCCTCAAAAAACTCCACTCTCTTGGCCTCCGAGACTCTGCTCTCTCCTGGTTCTCCTCCTACCTATCGCAGCGCTCCTTCAGCGTTACCTATAACACTGTCTCCTCCTCTTCACTCCCTCTTTCTGTAGGGGTCCCTCAAGGTTCTATCCTTGGACCTCTTCTCTTCTCCATCTACACCTCCTCCCTT